GAGGTACCATGAGAAGATGGTGTTTGAATCAAGTATGTTTGATATATGGAATAACTATACTTAATATGGTGAAGATGTTTAATGGAACTTGTTGAGTAATCAATTATGTCTTTAATTATTTATGGGGGCAGTAGAAAAACTAGTCAAACACAAGAGTAATTAATGATAAGCCTTCGCGCTCTTGAAGAACTTAATGAAATGTATTTGTAGTCGCTTATTCAATATATTGTTGTCTGGCCTTGACAATGTGCTTGACGAATTGAGTCACTTGTGTCAGTTCCTTGGGGGCCTGTACGGGGTCGAAGTGTTGGTTCGACCGAGAGAGATCGTACGGGTCGAAGTGTTGGTTCGACTAAGAAAGAACGTGAGTTTGCCCGACCTATTCTTGTAGGCCTGTACGGGGTCGAAGCGTTGGTTCGACCGAGAGAGGCCGTACGGGGTTGAAGCGTTGGTCCGACCGAGAAAGAATATAAATTGCCAGATTTATTCTTATGCGAGGTGTGACTAGCTTATTTATTACTATAAAAATGTACCTTATGAGCTGCAGACAGGGTGTGTTAGTTGCTGCGTAATTGATCCCCTTTGATTACTACTCCATTGGCTTTACTGTAAATCATTACTAAATCTACCGATTTCCTTTTAATAATGCACACGTATATTATTTACTGGGCTGCCGAATTTATGGCCATGTGTCGTTACAGTATATACTAAAACACTGAGCGGTAATTACAGTTTAGTGGGCTCGAAGTAGGATTACAATGAGTGTATGAGCCTTTTGAATACGCGCACGAACCGAAGGCTTGATCGTTCCGTGGCGGCTCTGCTGAAAATACCGAGCTTTCCATGGCAGTCCTACTGAGGGCAGATGGTTAGATCGGTTCACTATGGTCGGTCACTGCGGTCACGGCAAGATGTTAGCCACAAGCGCAGTTGAGCGAGGGTGGTTCGGCAAGAGATGATTAGCAAGAGAGAGAGATGATTTGGAATGGATGTTTGGAATTCCAGTCACCAGTATGATCGCAGATCACGGTGGGTGGATTAGACCGTACCACCGGTTTAATGGCGACCGGAGGGGGGATAGGTGAGAGGTTAATGCATCAACTCAGAGTAAATACAATTGGTTTTAGTGACCTTTATTTAAGTAGTTATTAGGCTGTTGTAGGTGTTCTTTATTATGGTGAGAATTGTTGAATGTAGTGACTAGGAAGCTGATTATTAGGTCGAAACATCGTCTGGGAAAGCAAGCTTTATTAGGTAACAATTCCGGGTCTTAATTTATAGTCATTTGACGTGTGAATTGCGCTTAAATTATATTGGACATTAGTTGGCTTGCGGAGCTTCGACGCTTACGGCGATGCTCGAATAGTATCAAGCGAGCTGCGGCTCGCGACTGATTAGACACTTAACTTGACTTGTAAATTGACTGAGTGATATTCGGCTTATGCCGGTGGTGGGGATTATTACTAACCTGTAGCCCTCTTTGTGGTTTGATCAAAACCAATTTATTGTGGTGTGACCGGTACTGTATCGTAGTACTAATTAAAATTCAGGTAGGGGTCTACTATTGGGATTGGCGCCCTCACTTGCTTGTCTCAAGTCAGAGGGTTTTTAGGCCAGGCTCTATCGATAATAATGATAGATATGAGCCGGGTCGCGGTCCCGAGAATTAGGCGAGGATTTGCGGCAATGTAAATAATATTGATAGCTGGCCAGCAGTAATAAAATTTGAAGAGTAATAATAATAATATACCTTGCAGGGATTCCTTCAGACGAGTTTAGATTTTCACAGATTTTACTGACACTAGTTTCACTTGAGTAATTCAACAAGACTGGTTTCTTCTCCGTTCGTTGCTTCTTAAATACGATTGCGTACATTTAGTGTTATTAATTCATGGAGGCTTTAGTGAATTCTCTGGAAGCAAGCTTTGGCAAATTTCGAGAAGCTTCTTTTGTTTCTATGCGGACAAAATGCGCGGTTAAATTTCCAGTGAATTTTTGTAACGTATAATTCGAATATTGCATCTTAATCTAAATGTGATTTATCGGAATCGTATTTTAACAAACAATAAATTCTTATTTGTTGGGTGGTTCAATCCTGAACATTCCGCCCGTCATCAGCACTATAGTTGATGAATCCCGTCATTGTATCGGTAGGACTGCCAGTTTGTGAATTGTTCTTACCATCGTAGTGATTACCGTCTTTAGTGTTACTACTCTGGTAAGGCCGTCTCCACCTGGATGAATTTCAATCACTCTGGTGAGTGGCCACTTGCAGGGGGTAAGCGTTCATCTGTTATGAGCACCAGTGAGCCCATTTGAATTCATCCACACTATTATATTGTAGTATACTGTAATTTCTTTGTTTTTATTAAATTTGCACATTTTATTTAATATAAACATATTCTTTCATTTTATAAAAGAATATTAATTTTGTATTTATTTCAATATAAAAATAAACAGTGAATATCACAATCTAAAAATATAGTATAATTGTTAAATAAATATTTGAAATTATTATTATACAATTTTTCTATTTTAACAAAATTTTATATTTCAACCAAATTTAATAGATAGCATAAAAATTAAACATTACATTTATAAAATATTATTCTTAAAAATTGATTATGAACTTTGTTTAGAATTGGACTATGGCCACCAATTGCCTGGTAGGAGATAAGTGTGAATAAGTGAAAGGGGTAGCGCTTCAATTCAATACTTAACACGTATGCTTTTCTTGCCTGGTATTTCGATTATTTTATAACTATAATATAATGATTATACGTTGATGATGAGAATCGGTGAGATTTTGACGTTTCTTGGTTGTTGCCACGTCGTGTTAGCATGCGCTACATGAACAGGCAGGAGGTCGTAAATCTCCGGATCTTCTTGATGCATTACGCTTGGTGGTGAAGTACTGTACTCAAAGTGAGAGGTCGTAAATCTTTTGACACTTCTTCGTATAGTGCCACGTGGTGATAACTAGATTGCTGGTCTCCTTCAAGTTGTCTTGTGGCATGGAAGGATGAGGAACGTCTTCCGTAGTGGCTCTGCTGAGTGTGTGTGCAATGACTGCACCTAGTATAAAAAGGGTCATCTGTTCGATTTTAAAGGTTTAGTTTATGGTTCGAATTACCAATTCAATAGTTCAGTGGATTAGTCTCTCGGCAGGATAACTTTAAAAGAAATAATAAGTAACAAGGCTGAACAATATCATATATTTAGTAAAAACAATGTTTATTATTTGTAAATGATTATAATAGTAATATTGCAATGTTGTTGAGAAAGGATTATTCGATTGTAGTAACGAGGGTGTGTCCTTGTATTCTTGATTATCGTAGATTCTATGAATATGACTGTGTATCTTGAAGTTGAGGTAATGCTGATGTAAATATCAGCAGGTGTAGTCAGTTAATCATGCTCATGAGGTAGCATGAGAAGATGGTTATTAAGTCAAGTATGCTTGATGTATGAATAACTATACTTGGTAAAGTGTAAGATGTTTAATGGAACTTGTTGAGTAATCAGTTATGTCTTTAATTATTTATAGGGGCAGTAGAAGAACTAGTCAAACTCAAGTGTCATTAATTATAAGCCTTGAACTTTTGAAGGACTTAACGATGTGTATTAATGGTGGGATTAGTCCATATACTGTTGTCTAGCCTTGAGAATGACCTTGATTTGTTGCGTCAATTGTGTTGACTGTTTTTGGGAATGCACGATAACGAAGGGTTACTTCGAGAGAGCCCGCTCTATCACCTGTCAACTGTTTCAGGGAATGCACAATGACGAAGGGTGAGTTCGACCGAGGGAATGTGAAATTGCCCGATTTATTCTTGTGCGAGATGTGACTAGCTTATTTATTAATATAAAAAGGATATCTTAAAAAACTGCTGACAAGGTGTGTTGATTTCTGCGTGATTAATGTCCCCTTTGATTACTATTCTTGTATGGCGTCATTGTAATCACTTCTAAATCTGCCGATTTCCCTTTATTTATGCACACAAGTATTATTAACTTGAATACTGAATATATGGCCACGTGTCGTCTTCACAGTATACTGAAACACTGAGCAGCAGTTACACTTAAATGAGCGCGATGTAGGATTACAATGAGCGTCGCCACATGGTGAGCTGCGCTTAAATATGCATGCAGCGGATGCAACGCCGGCAACAGTGCCGCGGCGTGTCGTTAGCCAGAAAATTCTTTGTGGCGTTAGAAAACGAAGCTTCTAGAAGTTTCGTATGTGTTCTTCCTTTGTGAGATCTTATAGTATATTATATTTCAGATCGTAAAACTTGCTCGGACTTGTGGAGTTTTGTTTATAAACATTTGCTCGAGTGCGGGTGCCAGTCTAGGCGAGCGTGCCGTGCGCCTCACAGCGAGTATGACCCACTTTTCTTAAATTCATGGAACTGCATCAATCCCGAACACCATTAGTAGCGGCTCTGCTGGAAGTGTGTGCAATAGCTCCACCTAGTATGTGAAGGAACTTCCGTTGGTCTGTATGAGAAACGTCTTAGACGGACTCGTTTTATACCCACTAGTATTGGAAAGGCTTGCGACTGGTTCCGTGACTCGGTTTGGCCGAATGATTCTTGGGTGACTGGCTCATGACTGAGTAGCCGTTATAATTAACTAACTCATGATTGAGTAGCGCTTATCTCGTGGTGCACTTGCCTTAAATATCTAGGATAGAAACCATGGGTTCGACTGTCATGCGAGAAACAATAGACAGAAAAATAGAAACAATACATTGTGCACTCATTTCGAATGTATCGGCTTTTCCGAATCTCCAGCGACCGTTGGAGAATTTTCTTAGAAGTTATGACCGTTGATGAATGATGTAAATGATAAAATTCGAGATTCTTTGAATTTCGAACAAAATCCAATATAAAAATAAATTCAAATATTAAAATCATTATTTGGATGAGTATATTGTTTGTATTTATGAATAAATGTGATTTCATAATTATTAAAATATTTTAATATTTTCGTATTACCTATTTTAATATTTTGTTTTACAGCTTCAAACGAGTCTACTATATTCCATAAACAAAAAACTATAATAAAATTTTTTTGTAATGTACTGCCCATTGTATACTGCAAAAAATTATTTAATTAATATTATTATAATAGTTTAATGTATATAATTTTCATAAATTTAAATAATTTTCAGCTTTAATGTAGACTTTGATAATGTTTACATATAACAATTTGATAATCAAAGATATTTCTTATGATTTCCAGTAAAAAAAAAAAAAAATTATGATTTATTATATTATAAAGTATATTGGTTTACGACCATATATTCTTAATACTGGCGATGATATTAAATCGATCATTTTATCAAGAATTCCAATAATAAGTTATATATTCTAAAGAGTAAAATATTTCGAAAGAAACTCAATACTTGATTAAAGATAATAAATTAAGTACCAATTAAACTTATGTACAAAATAAATTAATAGTATTTTTAAATGAATTAATTTTAACTTACTACGTACTTTGAAATAAAAGTATTTAATGACGTCGTATGTATAGCAATTACCGAATTATTGCACGCACACTCTAATTAGTAATGTATTCAAACATTTTCTGATAAATACTATTGTTCGGAATTGAAGCATTTTAGTTGAGGTCATCGGTTCTCGGAATGTTTACATTTTCATACATTGATTTCCCCACTAGCCAAAGCTAGAATTCTTGAACGTTTTACAAAGTTGCTTAGCCCTTGAATTTTTACATTCACCTTCTTAGAATTCTCAAACGTTCTACAAGGCTGCTTTACCCTTGAATGTTTACATATTCCTTCTTAGAATTCTCGAATAGCCGAAATCTTACATTCCCGACCGATTCCGATCGTGTCCGATTGTTTCCAAAGGCTACCTAGCCTCGAACAATTACGCTGCTTTCGCCGAATTCTCGAATAGCGAAAAGCTAGTTGCCGCGCCGATACTTAGGGAGTTGCACAGAGTCTTTGTCAGGAAAAGTTCAAATAACAAGCGTTCATTCGACGCAGCTATTGCAAGAAACGCTAATTCTCTTATCCAGTGCACCAAAGACAACAATCCGTCAAAGGCTGACTGCCGTTCTACAAAATAGTGGACTATAAAAATCGTGATATTCAATCCTTGTGCTCTCGAAGGTATATTTAAAGATCATTTATTTGTCATCCGAATAACAAGCACACTAATACTCCCATACTTCACTATATGAGTATGATCGTTTCTCTTGGAGATAATACCATACTCCCTTTATGAGTATGGTCAATTCTCCATGATAACTACCACAGAGACGTTAACATACTCGTAACTAGACGTTACCACCTTCCCATGCTCATCTGATCAGCATGGTCGACTGTTCTTACTGATCCTTACAACGTCAGCATAGAATCCAATAAATCATATTCCCCTTCAGGGAATATTCAAAATCCATTGCTAATCCCTATAACACCATCAACGACAATACCACCATTACGAAGAAGCAACCACATCATTGTAATTATTCAGGATGGAAGTACCCAACAATGAAAATTAATTTTCTTATTTACTATATGATTCTATTGCATTTAAATTTATTATAATGCGTAATATTTGAAGTAGTCGTTATGAAAATTCTCGATATATTTAAACCCTTATACCGTATCCGCATAGCGGCAAAGGAAGATTCTCGAACCTACCAAAGCTTGCTTTCCGAGAATCTGACAGAATCTCCAAGAATTACAAACTCTAAATATACGAACTAATATATAAGGAGCAAAAAACGACGAAGGAAAACAGTCCTGTTGAGTAAGTCAAGATGAAATAGTGAAAGTCACAACAGTTAAAAGTTCTACACGTCTGTCTACGGGAATCCGTGCAAGGTATACTCATTTTTTTTACCTTATTTATTATCTATTGCTGGCTAGATATCGGTGGGCCCTCCACAACTTGACTCTAGTCAGACCGCATTTAAGGCGACGACATAGTCTGGCATTATCAGCAAGCTACTTATCATCGTTTATTGTTACTACGGCTCAGCGTCTACACTATCGATCAGGCCTCTGCAACTTGTTTATTTTCAAACCGCTGAAGAGGGCGCCGATACTGTCTGATTGCCCCGCCAAACACTCATTACTGCGGCACAGCAACGATATCATGAGTCACGCCTCTGCGACTAAGTTCTGATCAGACCACTAAAGAGGGCGTAGACAATCCTTGATAGTCCCCACTAATCATCGTTGATGAGAGTGTTTATGGCTTCGCGACTCTTGCGATTCTCTCCCCACGAACGACCCCATAAAGAACAATAAAGTGTGCCCAGTATAATCAGCCCAGTTTTTACGTTGTACTTCCTGACACCGTTCTACAGTTTATGGCCAACTGGTGGAATCACGACGAGCTCAACAATTCTCACAACGATTTGTAAAAACAACTACCAATGTAACATAACCTTAAATTAAAGTCACTAAACCCCAATTGTCTTGATACTGAATTAATGTATTGACCTCTCGCTTATCCCCCCCCCTCTTCGCAAATTAAACCGGCAGTACGGTCTAATCCAACCATCTTACTCTTCAGATCATACTGGTGGCTGGAATTCCAAACAGTAATATAATTCCCTCTCTCTCACAAGAAGTAAACATAGAACTGCGATATTGAAATTGTTAATAAAACAGAATAAACGATGTCTTAAAACAAAGTTACACACTGTACATATTTTCAGCCCATCCACGTGTCTTTTTTCCTACGCATCGCTACGTTGAGAGATTAATAATCTGAACTATTGAATTTGGCAGTTCAAGCCACAAACTAATTTTTCGAACAATAATAGAGATAAGCTATTAGAATCTATTTTATCGTGGTAGTTAGATAATATTCAGCGACTTACGATTTTCGGAATGAAAGTTCTTAAAAGAATAACGATAAATATAAAATTTATCAAAGGAAATTATAAAAAAAGAATAATAACAGTCAAAGAATAGAATAATAACAATCCGTTTTATATTGATTTCCATTGATAAATATTTCAATATATTTTGAATATTCATTCACAATATTAAAAAAATAATTAAAATTCGATATTCAAATTACAAATTTGAAATAAAAATAACAATTTATTGGCAAATATAATTTTATAAATTATTAACTTATATATTGGTAATATATTTAGATTGTGCTATTTTGTTCTTATTAGCAATAAATATTTAATAATAATTCATAAAGTGAATTATTTCCATTAATCGCCTATTACCAATATATTTTCAAGAAATTACCTCACAACCATATGTCTATTTCAATATATAGTAATTAATCAGAAGCTGAAATTTTTTGCATATTCCGACTTGAATCATTTATCTTTCAGCAGTCGCAACCCTTTCCAATACTAGTGAGTATAGAACGAATCCGTCTAACACCTTTTTCATACAGACAAACGGAACTCCCTTCATCTAAACATTTCAGTCCTTCGAGCCGGATAAGTGGAAGTTAATGCATTGCTTCAGTATTCACAACGACAGGACAAGCGTGCCGTTACACTCTCTGATCATATACCGCCGCAACACTGTTGTTTATAAGGACACACAGTAACTGTGTCATATCTCATCAACAAATTTCCTCACCGATGTAAGTATTCCCGTTTGTTGTGTCTTCTCGTATACTACATCATCATTGAGATAATTCCAAACCTCGAGAGGAAGGAAACAAAGGACACTACAAATTCTGAAGTGCCAAGCACAGAAGAAGGGGAATAACGCATAACCCGCAACATCGCTACAGAGCGATTACCCGCTGAGCTCATTTTGAAAGCTCAAGGTCAGAGGAATCGTGTTTCAGCGATAAAGGATCTTGCTGAGGAGCACCCTTCATCTTGTTTGAAGTACGGAAGAAGGCGTACGGAAACGGGTTGAAGACCTACACAAGGCCTTTAATAATGAGCAAAGTTATCTTGAATTATCATGCCCGTCAGAGTTAACAAATCATGAATACCTCGAAGAATATGCAAAGGGAATAACTCAAACATTACTCATTTGTGAAATCAACCATCGAGAAGCTACGTTGTGGATTAAATGAGTCAACAAGGAACACAAGGAAGTTGGAAGAAGTATAGTCGAAGAAAGAGCAGTCAAGAGAATTGACCCGGCTTCCAGACAATCCACTTCCCAAATTCTCAGGTGACAATTCAGCATGACCTACTGTTCGAAAATGTTTGATTTTCTGGCTCGAATTGCCAAGATTTGATAGCATTATAATAATTTGCCGCTCATCCGAGCGGTTTCTTAGGAAGGACTTAAGTGGAAGCGCTTCAGTTAAATACAGTGTGCGAAAAGTATATAGTATGCTCGATCACGACGCTTCATTTGCAAAGAACTGATCCTGTGTTGAATAGTTTATCTACACGAGTTGCTCCTTGATGATGGTGATGATGTTGTTGTTGATCTTGTAAGAATCAGCAACTAATTATGCACACTCCTTATTAGTGAGTATGTTTTGTGCCATTAATAATAGCGTCCTGCTAATCTTGTATGGATTAGCAATAAATTATGTATACTCCTTAGAGTATTGGTTTGCTATATTGATAATAGCGTCATGCTAATCTTGAGAGGACTAATAATAAATTATATATACTCTTTACAGTATGATTTTGCTATGTTAATAATAGCGTCATGCTAATAATGTTAGGATTAGCAATAATTTATACCTTAGACTTATTTTACTCGCAGTGATACAGTTCCTTGATGTGATACTGTCATGAATGGTTTGTGGTCGTGAGTAATCCATTTTGATGGTGACGATTTGTTGCTGATTTTGCAAGGATCAGCTATCAATTGTGCATACTCCGTGATATAAGTATGACTTACTATGTTGATTGTAGTCTGGTATTTTCTTAATATGAAGGAGATAGTGTCAACACCTTCCATCTTCCTTCTATGGTGGCAGTACTTTGAGAGTGTCTGGTGAATAGTCTACTGATTGATTAGCACTTCATGGATGAATAGCATGACGGACTGGATCAATGACTGAAAATCTACTACCTGGTCTCGTGGTGTGCTTCCATTAAAT